TTATAGGTTTAGGCTCAAGAAAGAAGTCATCCGCCGAGGGATTTTAGTACCGATAGTATTAGATAGTTAAGATTTAAGTTATTTATAAGGTTTATTGTGAAAGGTGGGAAGATGTAGAACTTGTGATTCCATCTACCTGCCTTGGGCCTCCACTCGCAGCAACCTCCTCGTGGTGAGGCCTGGGAATCGGTATTATCATCGGTAAAATACTGTAAACTGATGACAATATCGAGCTAATGGCTGCGAACTTCGAATCTATCTCATAAAATAACGTTCTATATTACATCGAACTAGGATTATTTTAGAAATCGATATGAGATTCAGTGTTCTAAAAATGTCTAGAACTTTGAATGTTATAGAAAATTATTTAGTGGATCTTGTAATGAAGCTTTATAAATGAATAACTTGTATTTTATCATAAATTATTAAACAACAACCCCGTCTTAGTATTTATGAGAAATATGAAATATTAATTATTTTATTTAAATGATGTTAATTACGTTTCGTGCGTAAGATCAGGACAGAACTGCCCTAGACGTGTGGCGCGAGAAGATTTAGGAATTTGTATTTTCATAAACGAAGTTAGAAACTAGTACTTGTGAGAACGGGCATCATTTTTCTTCGTCGCGCATTAAAACATGGAAATTTTTAGTTATGGAAAAATGCAAATATCTCAATAATTAAGCGTTTAAAATAGACGTCATTACATAGTCTCAAATTGTCCCTCAGGACTAATTGCAAAAGATTTCGATCGCATTTACATCGCTAAACGGGCATGATTCTTCTTCGTTTTGCATTAGATACAACGTTTAAAGAACGTAGATTACTATTCTCTAACGGCTGGACACCAGTAATTACAAGAACATTGTTAAAATCGCATTTGTTTGCAACGGTTGACACTGTATCTCGACATGCGTACCCCGGTTAGTTCACTTTGGACTACTCTTCCAACGTTATGCTGACAGTTCGTGTGTTGACCAACCATTCAGATTGAAGCTTAAAGAACATAGATTAATCACCTGTCATTGATAATAATAATAAACAACCAGAACACTGTCAAAATCGCATTTAATCGCGGAGTACCACTATTTTTGTGACCGGTGGCGCCATCCGTGGCGAATTGCTGAAACTGCTAGCCAATTATTTGGCTACCAGTTTCAACGATTCGCCACGGGTGGCGCCACCAGTCAAAATAGTGGTATTCTGCAATTAAATGCGATTTTAAAGTGCTCTGGTCGTTTATTGTTATTTTCAATGACAGGAGATTAATCTACGTTCTTTTAGCTTCAAACTGAATACTTGATCAAGACGTAACTTGTCCATAGAACGTTGGAAGAGCTATTTAAAGTGAACTAAACGAGGTACGCATCGCGAGATAGAGTGTCAACCGTTGTAAACAATTGAGATTTTAACAATGTTCTTGTAATTACTGGTTCCCACCTGCCAGAGAGTACTAATCTGCGTTCTTTAAACTTCGAATGTAATCCATGACGAGGAAAACTGATGCTCGTTTAGCAGTGTAAATCCGATCGAAACCTGTTGCAATTACATAACCACGAAACAGGCAACACTTTTCTTCGACATGCATTACATTCGAAGTTTAAAGAATGTAGATTAGTACCCAATAACGGCTGATTTGTCTTGTCCAAGCAGTCAACTTGTAGCTGAAAGAACGTAGATTAATCTCCTGTCAGTGGCAATAACAATAAACGACCAGAACACTGTTAAAATCACAATTTATTTGCAACGGTTGACACTGTATCTTGTCATGTGTACCCCGGTTAGTTCACTTTGGACAGCTCGTACACCGTTATACGGACAGCTTTCGTTTAGCTGAAGCACTCAATTTGTAGCTGAAAGTACGTAGATTAATCCACTGTTATTGATAATAACAATAAGCGACCAGAATACTGTTAAAATCGCATTTAATCGCGGAGTACCACTATTTTTTTGAATGGTGGCGCCATCCGTGGCGAATCACTGAAACTGCTAGCCATATAATTAGCTAGCAGTTTCAGCGATTCGCCACGGATGACGCCACCGGTCAAAAAAATGGTGGTACTCAGGGATTAAATGCGATTATAACAGTATTCTGGTAGTTTATTGTTATTTTCAATGACAGGAGATTAATCTACGTTCCTTCAGCTTCAAACTGAATGCTTGGACAAGACGAGAGCTGTCAGCATAACGTTGGAAGAGCAGTCCAAAGTGTGCTAACTGGGGTGTAGTAGTAAAACTTGGGCTGTAGGAGTATCTGCAGAAACTGCCATGGTTGCTGGGGTTACTATATAATTTGCTCACGGAAGCACGCACAAGTGTCAGTCAGATTTCGACAGTTGCACGAGCAACATTAGACCGAGCTCGAGACTCGTACGAGCAACAAGATAAAGAATCACGTTTCAAAACTCTTGCCCATGCTCCGGGGGTTCCCACTTCCTCACAGACGCGCGGACTCTGGCGCCACCTGCGGGGGTTCCGTGACCCCAAGCCTACACACACGAGGCCTCTGGCGTCTCCTGTTGGGGTTCTGTGACCCCCAGACCTCACCACACCAGGTCACTGGCGCCTCCACCGGGGGTTATATGACACCTGTCGAAATGTTTAACATATCCCGAAGATGCGATGGTTATAAATATTACATTGCTGTAAACATTCACTTTGTTGTGAAATCATTTCGCGCAAATTGGTATAAACCAAGAACTCTATTCTAAAATATATAACAGTCATTGTCAAGGACAATAACTATCAGACGTCGATCAAAGAACTCCTATTCGCGAAAAATTTCTACGAATTTCTCTCATAAAACTATACTAAGGTATATTTAAATTAAATACTTTTTAGTTAACAACCACCACGAACATTAACACATAGTCATTGTCTAATAATTTGCAATGAAGTAAAATTTATTCCATATAGAAGTTCATAAAACGATTCATGTTTTACAAATTTCTAAATACCTCGATTTTTATATATTTGTTATAACCAATTGCAGTTTGCATTACAATACAAGTGATAGAATGTTTAACAACCCTCACCGAAAATGTGATTGGTATAAATATTGCATTGTCGAAAATATTTAATTTATTGTGAAATAATTTCGAGTAAGCCAAATATTCTATGCTCAAAATTATAACAGTTATTGTCAAGGACAATAACGATCAAACGTTGATCAAAGAATTTCTACCATGCCATAAATTTTTACAAATTTCTCGCACACAACTCTACCAAGGCACATTTTAATTAAACAATTTTTTGTTAACAATTGCCATCAACATTACGACACGGCTATTATTTAATAATTTACAATAAAATAAAATTTATTCCACGTGAAAGTTTGTATACTATTTTATATTTACATCTGCAAAAATTCGATATTGTTAATATAAAATTATTCCTTTACTTTCACCTTCACTCCAAGCAATACATTCATGTTTGAATTAACCAAATACCGCGCTGTCAGAGAAATGCTAATCAAATCAATATTTCTTTATTCTATACTTTTTTAGTTTTACATAGTGTGCTCAGTATATTGACTGTAAAAATTGTTTTCCATTTAATTATTCGATTTAATATACTTGGAATTATCTTTTATAAAGTTTCTTGATAAATCAGTTTATAATTAAGTATTGATTTGATTAGGGAGTAGTACCAACCGCCAGTTTGTTCGACATCTTTACCCGGTCAGGTACGCTTCATTAGTCCCGCAACTTTTTTCTATTTTTACCTTGGAAATATGATGTGCCGTGTTACAAAACATAACAACTCGATAGCAGAGGCATCATTTTCATCCTTTAACCTACAATTTTATTCCTAGGTAACTTTCTGTTTACATATTCCGCACTTATTCTCATACACCTTGTCGTTGGGGTCGGAGTGACCTTTATTTTTCGTGCCAGTTTCTCGGGAACCGTTGAATTTGTTAGATCATGCTCTCATTTTCACGTATTTATAATGTGTCTTAAATAAGTCGTGTCTTATAATCAACGTATTTATTTTATTCAGTCAGAATTTGAGTTTTATTCATAGGATTTAGAGTTATTTGATGCCTTAACAATCGAATTTAAGTATAAATCTCATTAGACATATTCAAGTTTAAGTTCTAACGGTATTCGATATTTGAGAAGTGAAATTCTTGTGAATTGTGTGCACAAAGTGAATGTGTGAAGTGTATTGTGTGGATTTTGAGCACTTCCTAGAACGTATATGAGGGGCAAGACTGATGGAGAATAGGAGTTAATTGGTAAGTGACTAAATTTGTATAAATTGAATTACTCATTAATTGCTTATTTTTAATTTCTTCGAAAATATTGTCAATTGTTTACAGCACAGACGTAGCATTTGCTTCTGAATATTTAAGTAATTGCATGAACATGTAAATAGTTTTCTAGAATTTAGTAATTTGTACCACAGGCAGGATAAACCTGTTTGAAAAGTACAGTTATTCGCGCCACTTGAAGTTATTTTACGTCGGTATTGCAGTTCTAAGATTACGAAGTTTCATACGATGATAATATTATTTCCTTCCTTATCAATCGATAAACTTTTCATGAAATAAACTATATCTACAGATGATCGATGGTTTTCAGTGCTTGATATGTCTTTGGAATGTTGTTAAATCTATTGTTTAAGTATCTACATACGTAATAATATCTTCAGTGAATTACTTAAACGTGCGAATCAAGTAATTATTCACGTTTCGATTTCGGAAAAATTTTAGTTCGATCTACAATGTGGACGAGAAGGTGTTCTAACATAGTTTTCTTCCATTTTTTAACAAGTAAATTGCAGATCCATAAGAACAATATTATGGCCATAATCACGATCACGAACGTTTCGTAATAGTCGAGTAACGAGATATTGTGACCGTGATAACGCAAGTGTCCCCAGTTTGAAAATTTAATCACGTGCTCGATATTCCAAATGGCTCGGTCCATCGGTTTTACCAATTCGTCCTTTACGATCTCTGACATGACCTTGATATTGTTGTAATACCTGCAAATAGTAACATCAAATACCATTAAATTATCTATTATTTTATACGCAACGAAATAATAAATCAATTTCGATGCCCACTTTAACGAAATTAAATGACTCTACGCACTTTGCAAGTCACTATTCCAATTTGTTTGACGACGAATCAAACGATCCATGTACGATGGATCTGTAGAAGTTGGGCGACGGTTTACTCACGTTTTATTTTCTATAACGTCTGTGAGGGTCCGTACGATGGACTCCTCGTTGATGGTATCGATGCTCAACGCGAGTCCGATACCGGCGTCCAGGATTTTACGTGCGTTGAAAAGTTGATCCCCGAAAAAGGGAATGGCGACTACCGGCACAGAATAGTGCACCGCCTCCTGCAACGACTGCAATCCACCCTGCATCACGTAGACCATCACTTTCGGATGTGCTGCATATAAAAGTGATGTTAGTATCGTGGATCAAGGCTAAAGTAAAGCGGGCCTCCTTTATGGATTATCCGCTCTCGAGTATTACAAGCTTTTAAACTCCTCTGAGAGTACACCGGCAAACAGTAGTTTAATATTTCTCTTCAAAGTCACGATCATTTTTTATCGGAACAACGCAGTCTGGCTAACGTTTAATGAAGTATACTTTTTTTTTTTATCTTTCCGAGTATTTTCTCCTCTATCTATAAAACAGTAAATATAGAATCTGGTTTTGATACTCGTATAGCTTCCATTATCGAATTTTTATAATTTATCCATCTCCACTGATTAACTCGTTAAATTGCCAGAATATTTCTCGTGTGGAAGAGATACGATTTTAATCGGTTGGTCTAACGGGGACGAGTAAAGCGTTAAACGATGTCAACGATCAGGGATGGGGGACGGTGAAACGCTTTCGTCGACAAGAAAGTTTCCCTCGAAATCCAAGCGGTGCCGTCGAATTCCGGAGCTACGTAAACCCACGTAATAGGCAATTAAATTGAAATTCTCATTATTTGCATCGCGCCCTTCCCTCGTTACATTTCGTATTCTCGCCTTTAATACGTTTTCCAAAGGCGTGAAAGGGGTGGGCGAGACAGAGTGGGACAGAGAGGAACGGGTAACCTGTCTGTCAATGTGTACGAAAGTTCGCGCCTGCTTGCATTTGCATCGAGATCGGGGGTTACCGCGAACGATGCGGAGTTGTTTGTCAGAATTTCCCGGGAGAATTTCGCCGGCGTGTCATGAGTTATCTTTTCGTTTCAGTATGAATCGTCCCGGATCGGTGTACCCCACCCCTCCCAACCGATCGACGAAACGTAGTCGTTTATTTTTTTTTGTCCCTTTCTCCAACCGCACCTCTGGGCCACCCAAAAAGCATTGCCGAACGTTCGACTATCCGTAATAACGAGGTCGTTCGCTCTGGAGATCGTCGCCTATTTGTCTTCTCGGATTATCACCTGTTTTCTTCACCGAAACCTCTGGAACAATAGCTGTTCTCGACTGTATTATATTGTTCCGTTTATCATGATCGATAACTTGATTTTTCACGCCGTCGCTTCTGTGCAGAATGCTTCTGAACCGACGATACAAATCGATAAGGGATGATTCTACGTGAAAATATGTACAGTGACTCACAGATTTGTTCACATGGTATCGAAAGAACAAATAAGTGTAAAACGTTTTCATACGGTTCTTACTTATTTATTTGTGTTACTTTTAATTCTACTGTTCTTTTGTAAGAAATTCTTCGGAATTTTAAATCAAAACATTACGATTTCCTATGTCATTCTAATGATTCACCCTGTAGAACGTTCGACTCGTGTTTGTTCTCTGCGATGCCATCTAGAACTTCGATGGTTTCTTAACAGTTTAATTGTTCCGTAAAGTCGCGAACGACGGTGATTATTATACCGTTCACGTTATACCCAGCTGTCGATCGTTTAAAAATGAACAGTCGACGAGGTTGTCACAGGCTGTTTCGCAAACTGGGGAAAATTACCGTCCCTTGGAAATGAAAAGGGCGGCGAGGTCGGGGTCGCAACTTCGTTAAGTATCCGTGCGGCGCGTGTCGGGTCCGCCGTTGAATTCTGTTTAACGAAGAGACTGTTGCGCGTAGTTTTGACAAGTTATCTACGTAAATCGAATAGAAACGCGTTAATCAAGAGGACATAAATGTGTTCACGAATCTCTGTAATCGTTGCGCAAGAAGTGTCGTACCGAAAAATAATGATCTCTCGAATAGTTCGTGTTTTGGGAAGACTTGCGTTGGGTCTTATCGGTCCGACTGAATGAAAGGGAAGCATTGTAGCTGGCGAACAGAGTTGATCGTTCATCCGTTCAATCATCTCCTTTTTTTAGCCTAATATGTCTAACGTTTCGAGATGCTTTCATTTACCATCGTTATCGTATATCAGCTGGTTAGGTAACTGTCCACAAGACGAAAGATATGTGAATGGTCAACTGGTTCATTCCGGACCACTTCGACTAACCTCGTTTAATTTTAATAAACTATGAACTCCATAAGCAGTGCAGCTAACTTAATAGTCGATTAACGCCAGATTCATACTAGCTGTCAAAGGAACAGTCAGATCACGATTAAAATGAATTTAGCCTATATTTCTCTCATTAGATTACGTGTGAACGATAAAGATTTGACGCGATCTCACTGTACCGTGATCGTTAGTGTGAATCTGGTTTAAAGTCAATCGGAGTTGGTCGAAGTGGCCCCTAGTAAAGGATTTTTCTTTGTTGAACGAAGCAGCCGTACATTTAGCGAGTCTCAAGGTACGACAAGTAAAGTATTCGATTTGGCGACGCAGACATTGTCGAAAAGAGTCACGCCGTAAAACGTATATCCTCCAAGCGGTCAATCCAGCGGGTCAAAAGAAAAAGGGGCCGAAGGATCAGTCGAGCCTTACCTAAAACCGCTTGCTGGGGTACCCACTTCACAAATTTCACGTTAGCTGGTTGAATGGCGATGTCCCCGCCGTGTTTCCATAGAACTCTTTGCTTGAGCGAGCTCAGCGCGTTGCACAACGCGGTCAAAGGACCGGTGGGTAACTGATGAGTTTGCAGATTAGAGCCTAGAGAAAAGTAGATTGCTCCGTGTTCCGCGTTGTCTAGGAATTCTTGAATATCCTGCACAACGCAACATTGAAGGTAATAATTTTCCATACGATTCCAATGTCGATGGTTTTCATTACATCGCGGTAAACAGCCACCGCAAAAGGTTTTTAAGATTCTGTTTAAGACCTCCTGGCGGTCTCTCTCGCTAGGTTCACCAGTTTTGTCCGCGAGGGTCGCTTAGAAACGATGATACACGCGAGTCACGTGGACCAGAAGGTATTGTTGCATTAATTGCACCAGCTCGGGCGGAACCAGGTGAATTTACGTAGGTACACGTGGATAACGATCACGTTTCGCGTCTCGGTTGTTCCGCGTTAATACCACGTGACGCGGGTACAAGTGGGCTTCGGGAACAGTGACGTCAGGATCTTGCGACGTTAAAAAAACCCCGTGGTTCATTGTTCCTGGAACAACGAAACCCGCTGGAAAACGTTCGTTCGTGGAACGATTACTCGCTGCTGACGGGGTGGCGGTATTATCGTGAGAAAGAGAGAGAAGAAAAAAAGAATCACTCGTATAGAAAAATAGATGCTGGATTTATTTTTCTAGCCGGTCAGACGAGGTCCGACGTGGGGCGAGAGAATACACGTCGAAAAATATTTTTCTTCCCCCCAACAGGGATAGGAGAAAAGGTACAACGAGCGGGTTGGTAAATAGCAATGACCTTTACTTTCGCGTCGCAGTGCCGGGCGGTAGGTAAACTTTTCCCCGTGTACAAGTTACCTGGGCGTACGGTGCTACGTATTTTCCCCTAGAGAAATCATTCTCCGGCCGCGATATAGGGTCTTGCTCCCTTCGTTCAGGTAAAATTGCGCGAAACAACGCACGGACGCCCCCTCACGGAATAATATCTGTAATCGTTAACTGAATTTAGACTCGTGCAATATCGGCTGCTCACCTGCCGAATTCCCGATGAAACGTGGCTATTTCGACACGCCTCAGACCCCCTCGACTTCCAGGTTGAATTAGATCTGGCCAGGATATCGGGACGGTTCGAGTTCGAGCTCTAATTTAACCCCCCCCCCCCCCCCCCCCCCAACTCTCCTTCTGTCTTAATGGTAAAGTTTAGGTTCTGGAATTAGTCACCTTAGGCAAAGCCTCTCGTTTCTCGGTGATCTGCAGGCTGTGAAGTTCGATCACGTTCGGAAGCAGGGGCTTCGGATACCCGAACACGTGATTGTTTCCCAACATCACCAGACTGAAGTTTCTGTCTATATCCTGGACCGAGGCGTCGGGCGTCCACTTGTTAACGATCTTTTGCGCTCTCGGCAAGTGCCAGTACTTGTAGTATATTCTCGTCCAGGTCGTGTAGAGGTAGTTCCAGATACGTTCGTCGAGAGCCATTTTGTTCGTGAAAGGATAGGCCATGTCCGGGTTTAGCATCGGGTCGTCTGGATTTCCTGTGCATCGAATATAGAATAATGCTTCGAAATTCGAATTTACATCGAACGGTGTATATTTAAATTTACTTCGAATCGACCTAGATTTACGTTCGAACGTTAAGGAATGAATTCTTTCAGGTGTTGTTTCGCGATCTATTTTCTTAGCTGCTTCCGAAATCGGTACAAGTTAAAGCACTACCGACCGATCCATCTTTTTCCACGATGCCATTTTTCGTACCCTCCGATTGCTCGCATTTTCTGCTTTACCGACGATTTGCGTCAATTTCCGGGACCGCTAACGACAGTCGGAGGGGTAGGAAAGGCCAGCAGAAAAGTACGTCGCGAAACGAGCACGGTCAGGACGCTTAACGGCTAGCACCTGCTATCGCGCGCGATCGTTCGCGATCTAGGGTTCACTTTGATCGGCCAGTAATTTGTTGTGTGTCTGAAATCGCCATGATTCAGACGGGTCACGCTTACCAACCGAATCCATAACGTACGGCAGGTTCCCGACGCTCAGAAATCCGATTAGAACAGGAGAATTATAATGCTTCACGAGGGCGTAATAACACTGGTACCATAATTGTTCTATAATCACCGCGTCGAAGGTCTTGTTCTTCCTGGAAAAAAGAAAGAACCACCGTCGCCCCACGATCTAGATTAGCTTTTATAGATGAACTAGTAACGGGGATGGAATTACTGTAATTTCTACGGGCTGTGTTTTTCGCCAGGGGAGAGAGAGAGAGAGAGAAGTGAACAGAACAGGGCAATTTCCTTTGGCTCACAAGAGAAAATTGCGCCGGCCAGGTTCTTGGACCGCTCTAGCCTTAACGAGCTTACGAAATGAATATGTTCTCTCCCAGTTTCTGTTGCCAGGTGTGCTATTCTTAAAGAGAATAAATATTTTTATTACGAAATTAGCTCCCTGATGGGTGGGCTGAACAGTTGTTTCTCGCACAACTCGTTCGCCTCTTGCATGTTGTTTCGTAGAATCGTGAACGCTCCCATGTGCCTACGGGAAAAAATCGATAATTTACTAAAATTATGATTTCTCAGATCTCGATAGAAACATAAGTCTTTAACACTCTGACTGCCACTGTTACCCAAACATGACACGTGCACTCCTGTTTATTGAATATTGGGTAAATGTTAGAAGGTATTATGAAATTGCTGGAAGTCTAAAATGAAAATCGTTTAGCTACATTGGGACAACACGTATGCTACTAGGATGTAATAAAAATAGTCTAAAATATAACATTTTTACGGAAACATCACATTTCTTTCATATATACCAGCTGGACTAACACTTACGAGAGGTAATGAACATTTCAAAGAGGGCTGGATTATTTAAATACCGTTACAAAATTTTATGTAAAATTAATATCGCAGTATAATTTCAAACAAGACCAATAACCTCTATTAACTAATCACATATACGTATTTTCGATGATTTATGACTTAAAAAAACGAAGTTAAGCGTGTCTGGTTACGTACGGCCCTTTTCACTGTGGCAGTCACGTGTAAACGCGTAACAAATATCGTGCGCACCTTAAACCGGTGCAATCCTTCTTCTCGTAGGTGAACGACAAATCGACGTCTTCGTAGTTCTCGATTGGCTTCTGGAACACGTGTACATGTATCAAGATCTTATCAATTTTGTCCCCCCGAATGGGAACGAGTCGTCTCTCTCTCTGTCCTCCGAGAATCTCGATCGACCCGGTGTTTGCGAAAGATTTACATGTGAAACCGAACTCTTGATTTCACCGTTGGAAGAAAAACAGGAGCATCGAGGGGCGGGCAAGGGACGCATTTAACAAAGAGAAATGTTAGCGAAGGTAAATTGAAGCCGAACGAAGTTTGCGTAACTTTGAACTCCCGAGTTTATGGAGAGAGAGAGAGAGAGTAAAGTGGCGAAACGACGCTGGAGAAAGAAAGACACAAGTGGGAACTGAAACAGGGGGAAAAGTGGAAGTTGTTCGAGACAAGGAGGCCAGAAATAGAGAGAGAAAGAATAAAGGAGAGACGTAAAAATGGACTGGCTAGGGAACGTGGGAAGAAGGCACGAATGGAACGCGTGGTTGGGAACCGGAAACAGAGTCAAACGTCCATCTGAAATATCTCTTTCTCGAACTTTCTATTCTATGGGCCCCAGCGATATTATTGAATTATTAAACCGTCGTTATAACCCTGTTGGAAATGTTTTCGCGCCTTTTTGTTTTTTTCCACAAACTTCTTCCACGGCGCTGATAAACGAAGGAGAAGTTTCGACGGTAATTGTATTCCCTATAAATAGCCGGGCAATTTCGTAGCAACGGTTACAACAGTTTACAGCACGATGGGATCTCCTCCTTCTACGGAGTATGTACACGGAGAACTGTAACTAGTCGGAAATAACAGAGAGAATGAGATCGATTTATCGTTGCGAACGAATACGAGCCAGAAATCACTTGGACGATCGATGCGCGAGTGAAAGAGAGAATGGAAGAGAGAGGAAAATCACTTGCCTTTGACGGGATGGTTGATATCACGGTGACGTTGTGCCCACGAGCCGCCAATGCTTTCATCAATGCTTGAAAAGGTTGCTGGTGGCTGTAGCTGGTGCTGGGGCAAATTCCGAGGATGTTGAATCCAACGCCGGACGAGAATCGGCGGAACACCGAGAGCACCAGAAGTAACAGCGTAGCGCGGCGCATCTTGTCGAATCGTCGTTTGCACCGTGTGTGTGTTTGAGAAAGACACTTGGGGATGGCCGTCGCGGGAAAACGATCTTTCAATTCTTTAAAAGAGAATCGAGGTTGCGCCGGTCTTACGGCCTTTGTCGGAATTTTCCGGGAGAGTATCGCAGGCGGAGAGGGGTAAGAGAACGACGCACGTGAAAAATTCAAAACATTCCTCGCGATCAGTTTGCACAGGGGGGCCAACGATAAATAAGTGAACGGGCGCGGCGATGTGTACCATCCGGTCGCGTGCAACTCCGCGCACGGCTTGCCAGCGAAATAATGCAAGCTTGGTCGCCGCGGCGTGACAGATATTTTTATACCGTCGGCTCCGCGAAACATAAAGGCCTTATTCAGGGATCGAGAGGAATTTCATCGGACCTATTATTTCTTATCTCCTCGGCTCGGGGCGGAACGTAAATCTCCGTATGCGGCAGGTCATCGTGTACACGTCGGATTAATATACAACGTCGGATTCTTGTAAGAGTATATAGGATTTTTTGTCGGTTCAAGCGATACGAGGAAAAGAATCTGTATTCGAGGAAGTTTTATTTCGAAATGTACATGGTATTTATGGTTTTTGAAAAAAAATACTAGTCATAGAGTACAACAGGGGAATTATTCTATCGATCGAAACGGAGCATCTTGTACATATATTGAGTCAACGTCAAATGTATGTACACACATAGATAAAAAAGTACAGACCGTCGTTCTCAGTTCGGTAGATATTCCCCGTTTAAATTATGAGCCGGTCGGAGGGGCAGTAATAAGAAAGATTGAGAAAAAAAAAGGAATAGAACGCGAGGAAGGGAAAAGCTGTACGGGTGAAGACGAATCGCCCAGAGTCGCGCCATTAGCTTCGATGTACGCTTTTGCCTTGCCGTCAAGAGGAGAATGGCTCGGTTGAGCGTACGGAATGATGTGTTCGCCAAGCCCGAAGAAAAATTGGTCCGTCGTCTCCTAAAGAAAAGTTTTCAACCCCCACTCCCCCGATAGGGGAAAAATGTCATTTATTCCCGCCGAAACTATGTTACTTTTTGTTGCTCGACGATTTTACCAGCGTGTAACGTGGCGCGTTCGCAAATATTCAACGGTCGGATACATTTCTGACGCGTTTCTAAAGCGTTATACACTTTTAAAATGTATATTGCACCGGTGCAACCCTAGGTGTTAAAGGGTTAAGCGAACCACTTTTATTCCCAATCTTTAATAATGACTGTGATCGTTACGACTCGAAGTATGAGACGTCTACTGAGGATTCGCGACCTATCAGCAACATCATCGTTAAACTACCGTGAAAATACTGCCGCGTCTCGTTTCGAGTGGGTGGAAATTTTGGTTACGAGGCTAGAAGACGCTGGGACGCTGACGGGTCGTCCGACATCGTTTGAAGATACGATAAGCTTCGTGACAACTTTAAGGAGCCCCGCTGACACCCACGGTCTACCCGGGTAAATTCGAATCACGTGTCAGAATCAGATGCGTCTGATAAGGGTTGAAAGCAGTCGCGCTGTCGGTCCTCCCCCCCCTGGGGTGTTCACCTTGAAACTTAACAACAGCTCGAAAACGCGGAGAACGACAGTCCCGGGTGGCAAGTTTAATAAACTGCTCGACGAAGGATCTCCCGTGAAACCTTTTCCGCACCTGTCCGTTTCGTTCAGACAGATCTCTAAAAAGATATACACGGGAAACGCTTAAGCCGACTGGGTTCTTTTTTTTAGCTGATCAAATACACATCGCGTTCGTCCGACAAAAGGTCAGTTGGAAACGGGTCTCTCGCGCTAGAATGTTGATATTATCGAGGACGCTGATATTAATTTATCCGCCGGCGCGGGCGGGACGATAAATGACAGCATGACGGAGAGGAAATCCGCGGGACACGAGAGAACGATCGATCAGTCTGGTATACACACTCGCGAATATCTGTCGGGCGTAGTTTAAATTACTCCCCCGAATAATCCAACGTATCATGGGGCTGGAATAGAAATCGTCGGTGCTGGGCGGGCGAGTAGAAATGCTTTTCCATGAGAGTGTCACGAGTGGGACAGCGATGGAACGCGGGCAAGATAACTTCTGTGTGTGCCCCACCACCCCCTCTTGTCAGGCCGCAATACGGACCACGGTTTAATACAACCCAGGCGAGGATCGTGGGCCGGACAGAGATAGGCAGAAACAGAGGCTTATACCTACCGTCCAGAAAGAGGACCGGAAAGGGAAACAGTTTCGCGATGAAGAGAGAAAGTTCAGGGTGCCTCCGGACAGCAAAATGCTGCGTGTGTCACTAAGTAAGCGTCTAGATTTGCTCGTCCTTCTCTACCTCCTAGAAAAGCCAGCGTAGGAGGATGTGTCAGGTTCAGCTGTGTATGTTTTCCGAGAGATCCCTTACCACGGTTTCTCTCGTCTCTCTTTTCGTCCCGTTTCCAGCCCCGTTCCTCGTTACCCTTTTCCGTCTAGTGTCCCTTTTGCTCTGCGGCACTCGGCTGCCTGCTCGCCTCTTTGTTCCTTGTACATAGTACCTAGCCAGCTTGGTTCCCGCTGTACGATACGCGGCGGTGGCGGCACCCACTTGCGGATCCCTTGCTATAATCCTTCCCCTCGGCCCGCCGCGCCCCTTCGTGTCGCCTTTATACCTTCCATCCACCCCCCAACCTCATCTCGTCTCTTCCAGACGACTTCCAGCAGAGCCGAGTTTTTGCCGCGTTGCTTATGCAACCGAAATTCAGGATATCCGCGGCTAATTTTGAGGATCGCAAGCTACGACGACGACCCCGCCCCCATTTCCGGACGAAGAAACGCGGCAACGGTTCGCTTGTCAGGAATTTCGTTAGGCTTTTCTTGCCCCTCCCAGGGGTTTCCTCTCGTAGTACTTGCCGCCTGGCCGGGCCGGGTCAGCCGCGTAAGCTGATGGTGGTGAGATTAGTGTCGCGCGAGTGCCGCGATTATGCACTTTGCCTCGGCATTACGCTGTTCAGTTCTTCCTGGACGGGATTTAAAGTAGTATTTGCTCCGGTTGAGAGGTGTGCGGTGTCTTTGGGATTAGTTGGAATCGCGAACTTATCGTAATACAGACTTCTCTCGATTATCTTCCTGAACGTCCGTGCCGAGACAATAATCTTATATAGTAAATTCTTCTATATCTAGTAAATTCGTTTTTTTTACAACAATGCACATCCATTCGCGTGACCAATTCGCCACATATATACATAAACGTTAATTTTCTGGCGAGCTTCGACGTCAGGCTACTCTCTTAGCCCCAGGATCTCGAGGTTGTGCTTAGAGTCCCATCGATACGCGTCCATTAACTTCACTAGGAGCCTCGTCGAGCCATGTAAACCGTCGTTTCGCTCATTCACGGGCGTGTTCGTTGGCGCGAATCATTCCATTCACCATTACACGCGTCGTCGGGGGTTGCACGTACTAACGGTGCTGCGCTAAAGCCGGAAGCTGACTGGCGGCGGGGGAAGGTAGAACGTTCGGGTGTGGTAGCCCTCCCGTCTATGCAACAGGAACTTAAGTACCGTGATTAGAGTTCCCCACGGGATCGCGAAACGGAGGGATGGGGGTGGGGAGAGCTCAAGGCGTTCGCGGCGCCTCGCGAATTATACATGCCGAAGTACATATGTCCCACGCGTATGGGTTTCTTTACGAACTGCCGGATGAGTTTACGGGGCGGTTAATGAAATTATTTCTGGTCACCGAGCGGCGTAATCGTGTCAGGAGGAACTTTCCGCGTTTCTGTGCCGCGACAAGGGCCATCCGGCTCCCGGGCACCGGGGAGGAACGTTTTCGCATGGCTCTTTGCGCTTCTCCCTGCAGGCTCTCCCGCGACCTACCCGAAAGATAAATATTTGCGAGCCCTCCATTACGCTTTATGGAATACTTTTCTCTATCCTGGTCCTTTTTCATTCCCTCCCCTCCACTTCTACACCACGAACCGGGCCGTGCGAGCCGTATAATCGTCGCAATTTCCTTGGCCGCTTGGCAAATTTCGCCAGGGCCCATCGCGAACCAGCAGCAGCCCACCCGTCCGTGCTCGCCTCCACGCTCTCCCGCGGTTTTTAACCGTGTTTTTTCCCCCTTCTTTTTATTCATACCCTCCGCCGCCCGTCGAGGATATTTATTTTCGTCGTTCGAGCACCCTCCAGAAGCGAGATTTCCTTGGGGCGTTCATCGTCACTGGGGACCGTTAATTTTTCTCGATGATTTCTTTTTTTTTTACTTTTTGTCAATTTTAACGCCCTGGAAGATTCAGGCCTCCGAAAGAGAGAGATACACACGGACCATAGACCCCGACAACCTCCTCACCAGGAACGAAAGTTTTCCTGCTCGATCTTTCGCATCCGTCCAGCATCCTGTACACACAGACCTTTTCCTCCTTCTTCTTTCGCTCGAACTTCGTTACCCTTCCACGTTTCCCGATGGATCCGATTTTCCTTCTTTCAAACCGGCTAGCCAGCCCTCTTTCCTCCCCTCTGGCCCGTGTTGCTTGTGCTGCCGTCTAATCGGGAGACGAAACAAATCTCAAAGGAATGTACTTCGGGCGCAGCATAGCAAATGCACGGCTACGGAACTTCCGGAAGCTAGTATCTCGCCCGACGAAGTTCCGTCGAAGAAACGTTCCGCGTGCGCACATGATCCATTTACCGTACCACGCGTTCTTTGGCTTAGGTAAAAATAAGAAATCGATAGAACGGCCGGGGCTCTGGCTCCTTTCTTTCTCTTCTTCTATCTGTGTATGTGTCCCGTTCACCGCCGTAGGGTATATCTAGACTCGTGCAGCGTGCTCGGAACGATTCTACGTCACGGAAATGAAGACTGTTCGAGCAAACGATAACTACCTCGAAGAAACAGAAGCTGAAACCACGTTCTGTAATTCAAGGTGCACGCCACTCTTATGCTAGATCGTTATTGACATCGTTGCGAGTCGGTATAACGTTATTATGCCCAAGCATTGTTGTAAAGCGCAAAGAACCATC